TTTGCTTGGAAAAGCTTTTTCCAACCCTTTACTCTGAGGTAATATCCATCGCTGATGCTGAGGTGTGTTTCTTGAATACAACAGAAGGATAAATCCTGTTTTCATATCCATTCTATTAGCCTGGGTCTTTTTACTGGGAAGTTGAGTCTATTGACACTGAGGGATGTTAATGACCAATGATTCTTACTTCCTGTTATCTTGTTGCTGCTGTTGATGGTGGTGGTGGTGGTGTGTGTGTGTGTGTGTGTGTGTGTGTGTGTGTGTGTGTTTCTCTTCTTTTGATTTTGCTGGTATGAGATTATTTCCTTTGTTTTCATGGGTGTTGTTAACCTACTTAAGGTTGGAGTTTTCCTTCTAGCGCCTTCCATAGGGCTGAATTTATAGATAGATACTGACTAAATTTGACTTTATGGTGGAATATTTTATTCTCTCTATCTATGGTAATTGAATGTTAGCCCAGTAGTTTGAGCTGGTATCTGTGGTCTCTTAGAGTCTGTAAGATATCCAGGCCCTTCGGACTTTTAGAGTCTCTATTAAGACGGTTGGGTGTAATTCTAATGTGTATGCATTTGTAAGTTACTTGACCTTTTATCTTGCAACTTTTAATGTTCTTTCTTTATTCTGCATGCTTAGTATTTAGATTATTATGTTGGGGGACATTCTTTGCTGGTCTAATCTGTTTGGTGTTCTGCAAGCTTTCTGTGCATTTATAGGCATCTCCATCTTTTGGTTAAGAAAGTTTTCTTCTATGATTTTGCTGAAGGTATTTTCTGGGTCTTTGAACTGGGTTTATTCTTCTATTCCTACTATTCTTAGGTTTTGTCTTTTCATAGTGCTCCAGATTTCCTGAATGTTTTGTGTCAGGAACTTTTTAGATTTAACGTTTTCTTTGACATCAATAGATCAATGCTGAATTTTTCTTTTATTGTCAAGACTCTGTTGAACAGCCAGAAGAATCCTCAACAAAAAGCACAAACAATGCCAGCACACATTACCTGACTTCAAAATAGGACAGAACTGGGAAAACAAATGCAGGGTTTTGTAGAAACACATACATATGTGTCAATGGAGTAGAACAGAGGACTCAGAAATAAGCCATGTAACCACAGCCATCTGATTCTTAATAAAGGTGCCAAAAATATATGTGTTGGGGAAAAGATATTTTTAAAGAGATAATTCTGGGAAAGTTAAGTATCTACTTAACTAGATAATACTAGAGACTCATCTCTCCCTCCATATAAAAACTAACTCAAAATGGATAAAACACTGATTTAAGAACTCAAGATATTCTTGGGAAAATATCTTTGCTAGCCATTCATCTAACACAGGACAAATATCCATCCTGTAAAGAACTAAAATAGGGCAGGACATTGTGGCACACTCTAACCCCAGCCCTTGGGGGGAGGGGCTTAAACAGGTAGATCTCTGAGTTCAAGGCCAGCCTGGCTTACATAGCTAGTTCCAGACCATCGGAGATATATAGTCAAAAATGAAAACAAAATAAAAATAATAGCAATTAAACAACCTAGTTAGTAGGTGAGCAAATGCTCTGAATAAGTATTTCTGTCCTTGCCTCTCTGGCTCTGTGCATATGTTTGTGTGTGTGCGCGCGTGTGTGTGTGTGTGTGTGTGTGCATGTGTGTGCATGATTAGGTGTGTGCATGTGTGTGTGTGCATGTGTGTGCACATTTGTCTGTCCCTGGGCAATGAACCCAGAGCAGTTTGGATGTCAGGTAAGTATCTACCACTAAGCAACACTTCCAGCCCTCAATTTCTGAACAATGGACAAATGACCAATAAATACATTTTTATCCACCAGGGAAATGCATTTAGAAACTATGCTGGAATTCCATGGCACCCCAGTCAAAATGACTACCTTTAAAAGAAATTCTGGGGTTGACAAGACGGCTCAGTATGTCAAGTCACTTGGACCCTAGCCTGGTGATCCAGTTTCAGTTCCTAGAACCCAGAATGAGCTGAAGGCACATAAGTGTCCTCTGACCTCTATATCTGCCCCATGACATACACATCCTCCCACACATACACCATGCACACATACAAATAACAGTTATTTTGGTTTGAATAGAGGGATAAATGAATATCGGGACACATTGTTGGTGGGGATGCAAATTAGTGCAGCCACTTTAGAAAATAGCGTGGCGGTTACTGAAGAAACTGAAACAGAGTCGCCATTGTGACCCTCGGATACCACTCCTGGGTGGATGGATACTGGAGGGAAATTACGGGATTGGCCTCGGAGTCTGTCAGTACATGAATGGATAAAAACTGATTTTCCCCAGAAATGCCTGATGGCTAGACTGTGCCTGTGACTGCGCCTCCAGCTTCTGTGGGAGCAGGGAGCGCCTGGTGGCCAGACTTAGCATTTCTGCAGAACCAGAGTGCACCCTGCAGCCAGGTCTCTAGCCCAGCGCCTCAGCGCCCAGTGCAGGGTCCACGTTCTGGTCCATTTTGTCCAGGGTCTCCGGAGGTACTGGAGCTTTGTTTCCAGTGGTATCTGAGATCAACATGGATATGGTGTTCTGATGTCTGAAATGCTGACGGTCACTGCCAAGCCTGAAGTCTGCATTTCTGTGGTTCCAGAGGTCGCTTTGGACCTGTAGCCCTGACTACAGCCCCCTGTTAGTAGACAGGGGGTCTGAAGTTTGGTATTCTATCTCCAGCAGGTTTATAGAATCCAGGGGTGACCAAGATTTTGATTCCATCTGGTCACCTTAGTACTTATGGTGCTGCCCCACCCTTGATCCTGATGGAACAGAGCCAAGACTGGGTCACTTCAGCCACTCATTCAGTTATCAACATCAAGTTTCGCCGGTCCGCATGGCCGGACCCCACGCAGACAAAACTCTAATATGAGTCACAGAAACCATGATGTCTCCACGCAGAAATAATCGCAAGGCTCTAGAGAGAATTTAGAGCCGTCCTAAAGAGTTAATGATCACAGCGAAGAGTCTAATACAAGCATGCACTAAGGAGATCTGGATCCTGTCCAGATGGTCTCCAAAGCATATGTAACAGTGAAGGAAACATTTTAAAATATGGAGGAAAAGTTTAGAAAGGAGATTGAAACATGGAGAACTAACAAGTAGAAATATTTGAAGTGAAGATGATCGGTCTCGGAAACTACAACAGAGTCCATCGTTAAAGACAGGACTGTGCACAAGAACAAATTTCAGGGGCAGAGGACAGCGGGGAAAAATGAGCATGGATGCTATTCCCAAGGAATCTGGACACTCAAGAGGCCAAACCTGAGAATTCACAGTGTAGATGAAGGACAGGGGTAGCATCGAATGGAAGAGACAATTTCATGAAATTATAACAGAAAGAATCAAGTTTGTAAACACAAGAGCCATGTGTGAAACTCCAAACAGATATAGCCAGGAAAGAAACTCTCCATGACATATTATAATCAGGAGTCAAAAATACAAAGTAAAGAAATAATCCTAGCTGGGTGGTGGTGGTGCACACCTTTAATCCCAGCACTTGGGAGGCAGAGGCAAGCAGATCTCTGTGAGTTCAAGGCCAGCCTGGTCTACAGGCTCCAAAGCTACAGGGAAACCCTATCTCGAAAAAACAAAAGTAAAAGTTAAAAATAAAAAATGAAAGAAAAAGAACAACAAAGAAATAATATTTAAAACAGCATGAGAAAAAAAAGATAGCTCACAAAGGCAGACATGTCAGGAACTGAATCTTGTAGCTGTGCTTTATTTCAGGGAGCTGGCGGCCTGTGGTTAAAGTCCCACCTTCCACCTCATCTCCAGCCAGGAAGGGTGGAAGCAAAGTTCAGCCCGCTCCTCTGGTCAGTAGCTGCCTCATTCCTGAGACTATGCTGTGGGGGTTTCCTTATTTAATATTCCTGTTGTTCGCACTGCTTAGCATGTCTCCCGCCAAGGCTACTAAACTCTGCGTTCCTCCTGGGGCAGAGCTTACTTCTAGAATAGAGGTTAATGCAGAACAGTGCTAAACGGCCAAGTTGCTTACAAATGTACATAAAGAGACTTCTAGACTGTGAAGTCCACATGTGCTCTTATAATATAGACTGTAAAAGTGCTCCATCTGTCTGTAGTGATATTTTATTTGTATTTTAATAAATAAAGCTTGCCTGAAGATCAGAAGGCAAAACAGCCACACTAGTCAGTCATACAGGTCAGTCAGAGGCGGCACACACCTTTAATCCCAGCAGCCACGTTAGTTAGCCATAGAGGGCAGGCAGTGATAATGCACGCCTTTTATCCAGCACTAGGGAGGAATATAAGGCAGGGTGAGACAAACAGGAACTCCCTGTCTAAAATCATAGAGGTAAGAGCTCACTCTAGTGGCTTGGCTGCTTTGCTTTTCTGATCTTTAGGTTGAAACCCACTATCTGTCTCTGGGTTTTTTATTGTTCGTGCTACATCTGTCTGTGCTGTTCCTCATCAGACCGTGTGTAGGCTGAGCACCAGGCTTCTTAGACGTTCTCTGTGTCTCAGTCTGCTAGTGTTTCTCATGTACCCTGGGGAGAACTAAATTGGACTGGAGGATATATAAGGGTTAGTGAAAGGAAACGGATAGGGAAGAACATTCTAGACACAGCAGGGGCTGGTATTTGGGAAGAAGCAAGTCTTGCTGAAGGAAATGTTTTTTCAAGTATCAGTCAGAGACATAAAGTGGAGGAAGTTAGGAAGGTACCCAGAGCGGAGGAGCCACACCGGAAAGCGGGTGATCCAGAAGACAGCGTTTCCAACTCAGAGCAGAGGAGCTGCTTTATGACATCCTCTCCAAACTCACTTTGTAGCTCTGGATCAGTTTTAAAATGGACCTAAATCATCCATTAATCAGCAGCAATGATGGAAAAAAATGTCAGACATATTCTATTTGAATTATCAGACTCAAAACAAGAGAAACCACCAACACCAATCCCAGATCCAATCCCAGGTCACCTGAAGGGCAATTTTTAAAAAGAATAGTTGTTGTCATTTATCAAGAACTTAATTGCAGAACAATTCCACTTATAGAAGCTCATTTATTATTTTTAACAACTCTATGCTCTTTAGGGATATAGCGTTTTTCATAGTTTTAAATATATACTTATTTTTACGTTCATGGGTGTTCTTCCTGCACATACATCCATGAACCATGTGTGTGCCTGATGCCCATCAGGGCCAGAAGACATCAGATGCCCTAAGACTGTAGTTATTAACTGTTGTGAACTGCCATGTGAGTGCTGGGAATCAAACCAGCCAGTGCTCTTAACTGCTGAGCCATCTCTTCCATATTTAAAAACAGAAAGGTGAAACTCACAGGATTAGACACCCAGGTAGACAAAGCCAGAGGGAACCACACCCAGCTTTCTTTCTTATCCCAGCACCCAAATGTCGGTCTCCTTTTCCTTTGAGGTCCAATGACCACCAGGCCACGAGGACAAAGGAGCAGAAGCAGCTAGCAGGGTTCTACTCTAGAGTCAGAGATAAGTAGATTGTTGGGAAGGGCAGCCGGGCTCACCTAACTGCCTGGCAGCATGCTCCTATCACAAAGCTGCTAGCACAATGCCTGTTATCATGATGGCTGGGGGGTGGGGGAGGTTGTTTGTAGAGAACTGTGCCAAAGGTCACACCTAAGATAAGTCAGCCAGCCAGGCTTAGAGAGAGCCTCCAAACAAAGTCAGGCAGAGAGTGGGAAAGCCCCCAAGATGGGTAGGGAGTCCTCCATCTCGGGCCAAGCTCAGAGAGAGCTGCCTGGACATGGGGAACTGCAACCTTTAACCTGTAGGGCCACCCAACATCCAGGCTCTGAATCTCTTGATTTTCTGTCTTCCATGATCTGCAAAGCCCACAGCCTGTGGTTCTGAAGCTAAGAAGGGCCTGAAAAGAGCCCTCCTTTTCCTGGAACTGGGTGGGAGTTTTCACCCTGGAAATCCGTCTCTTTCTTTGAACCTCTCTAAGATCTGATCAAGTTGTGGAGAATTAACCCAGCATCACTGGTCACAAATTCTTAATTATGTGACTATATCACTTTATAAAACCCTCACCCCCATGCCCACCCCTGCATCTTCGCTCTTGTCATATAAGTTTAGGAAATGCACCAGGTAGACAGGGAGAAGGAGGAAATGCAATGGCAATATCTATTAGGCATTGTGCTGAGGACTTCGCCTGCATTTTCTCTCTCTACCCTAATAAAACAACAAGATAAATATTTCAAATTTCCTGTCATAATCAGAAAACTTAAAGAGGTTCAGTGCTTCCCTAAGAGCATTTGGAGGTACTGACATAGTCTTCGGTTTAAATTGAGGGCAAGAGATAGACATAGCTAAACAGTCGTGGTCCAGGTGTGGTCCAGGCTCTAGGGTGTTCCAACAGAGGTCTGAGAAGTTGTCAGGCTGTGTGAAATCTCTTCCCAGGAGACAAATTCCTTCTTTGGTACTAAACTCTAGCCTTTCTCTTCTCCAAACACAGGCTTCCTGGAGGAATTTCAGTTCCTTGGCGATAACTGTGTTAATTGTCTAATACCGAAGGGGAGGGGCACAAGTATCTCTCCTTAGAGTATCTTTCCCTGTTACAGAAGACAGGGACTGGAGATTCAGATTAACTCCAAATCTTTAGAATTTACTGGATTGTTATTCAATCCATGATGGGCCTTTTGGACCATTTATGCTAATGAGATGACTCATAGTGCTTTCCTGAGAGTTTATGTTAATGACATCACTCAAGTTGTGTCTGGGTGAGCCAGAAAGAGGGGTTGGGACGCTCAGTTGTATTCTATCTTCCCAGGTCCTGGGGACTGGAGGCAGCCAGAGGATGGGACAAGGAAGGCGGAGTAAAGCCTTTACTTTGGTGACTGGGCGAGGTCAAGGGTCGGCAGTGCGCCATACATACGTTGCTGCGTGTGGATGCCAGAAGGTGATGTGTTCTGGAAGCTGCAGAGCTTTCTGTTTGGAGTCCTCTTGTCCCAAATTCTGGGCTCCACTCTTTCTTCAAACGTCAGATTTGTACCCTTTTGCCATAATAAGCTGTAATCATAAATATTGTACTGCCTGAGTCCTGTGAGCCATTTCAACAGTTTAGTAAACATACGGGAGTCTGGAAAAGCCTTAAATATATGGTCAGCTGCCTGAAATGAGGATGACCTTGGGTGCTCCCAAACTTCCGCCTGGTCTCAGAAGTCCTGGCAGACAGGACAACCTTTTAACCTCATTTGGATGAGCTCAGGTATAAAGTAATATGCATAAGACCACACAACAAATGGATGTTGTAACTGACATGTAATCCTTGGTATCTCAGTGACAGACTGTCCTGAGAACAGCTTGGGTTTATTCTTCCCAGGAGCCTACCAGAGATGATCACTCAGACACAATATTAGAAGTCTTTATTCTGGCTGGCTGGGACTAAACTCGGGTGTTCAGGACCAAAGTGCAGCATGAGTGACCAGAGCAGAGAGGTTTTAAAGGCAAAAGCCTTGTTCTGGCATCTCACTCAGCAGCTGCAGAGGAACAAGTGGGCAGTTTACCAGAAGCTGAGATAAGCTGTGGGGGGGGGGGGGCGGGGGGAGGCGTCTGATCTTGGACTCCTAGAATAGAGCTGGGTGATTTTCAGTGGGATTCTCCTCCATCAAGGAGATCAAATTCTAGCTAAATCTAAAATGGCCTCAGCAAGAATACAAGATGGAGGAACCTCTGCCCTGTCCGTTATGAACACAGACTGTGCCCCTGGAATGTAACTCTGCAACTTGGTAGTCTCCACTTTTCTTGTTTATACATATAGAGCAGAGGGCAAGTTTGTCCCACAGGCAACATTTGGACATGTCCAGAAGCACATAGATGTCTAAAGGGCAGAGAGCAAGGGTATTAGACACCCTGCAGTGCATAGAACAGCCTTCCTTCGTCACCAGCTAAAAATTGTCTGGTCCAGTGCTGATTGCACTGAGGCTGGAAAACTCTGAAGGGTTGTGACCACCCTTCTCTGCTGCCTAGCTCAAGGGTTTCTTCAAGGAGCCTGTGTTAGTGTGAGTGCTCTGGAAAGCAGACACTAAGATACAACTGGGCCTGGCCATGTCCTGAAGACACAAGCAGGTTACATGAAAAGTTGTCAAATGCTTATGATTTCTGCTCTTATTAAAATGCCCTCTGCTGCCAGCATTCACCTAGAGCCTCCGGGCGTGTGTTCTGTCGTCAGATGACTGAGGAAGGGGAGACTAGGGCCTGGCTTGCTGATGGCTTTGCATGTTATATAGGCAGCACCCAGAAGTGGACAGCACCAATATTGTAACCCCTTTGACAACTGCGAAAGACACCCACCCACATGGGAAATTTTCACAGTAGTACACATGGTCACATAATTTGTTGGGAAGCAGAAATTACCAGATGTAAAATTATTCCCTGACTCATGAGCTGTAGCTAATGGATTGGCTGGAAGGTCAGAGACTTGGAAAGAGAATGATGGGAAAAACTGGTGAAAAAGACAACTGAGGAAGAATAATGTGGATCGATCTCTCCAAATGCTCGACGGATGTGGGATTTGGGTCCCATGTAAATGTTCATCAAAAGGTGACCAGATGCAGAGGAGTTCAATAAGCATGTAGATAGATGATCCATTCTGTGGACACTCAGTCTTTTCTCCAGCCATTCCTGTCATGGCACAACAGGCCCATGAACCAAGTGGTGATGGTGGCTGAGATGGGGTTTATGTGTGTGCTTAACAACACAGCCCTCAACTCCCCCAGGCTGAGGCGGCTACACGCTCTGCTGAGTGCCAGCTCTCAAAACAGCAGAGGTCAAAACTGAGCCCGAGGTATGGCTCTGTCCCCCAGGATGACCAGCGACCTAGTGGTGGGCTGACTACACCGAACCACTTCTCCCCTGTAAAGAACAACACTTCTTGCCAAGGGTGGAGAATGGGTAGTACAGAATGGGTAGTAGAGAAGGCAGTTATAAATACCAGCTAAGGGCACGTGACCAGTGCAGAAATGAGGGTTACAAGTGGCGTGAGTTTTCCTATTGTATTTGTTGAGAATGTGTTTGTACAGATATTTGTGTTTTCTTTCTTCAATTTCTTTTTCATGTGATACAAATCAATTAAGAGAATATCAGGAGGGCTAGAGAGATGGCTCAGCAGTTAAAAACATTGGCTGCTCTTACAGAGGACCCAGGTTCAATCCCCAGAATCCACATGCAGCTTACAATTGTCTATAACTCCAGTTCCAGGGGATCTGACACCCTTGCATAGACATACAAGAATGCAAACCACCAATGCCTATAAAATAAGTAAATAAGTAATTAAAAAAAAATTCAGAATCAATTGTTTCTCGGGCACCACAAGAAAACCCACAGAACTAACTAACCTGAACTCACAGGGGCTGACGGAGACTAAACCAACAGCCAGAGAGGCTGCCCCTGCTTCTGCTGCATGCCTTTGGGCCCCATCCTCCTACAGGATGGCCTCCTCCATCCTTAATCGACGAGGCTGCCTGTCTCGCTGCAGCTTGATATCCCTGGGAGGCCGGCCCTTCTCTGGAGAAAACCAGAAGAGGAGCAGTGAATGCGGGGAGGTGGAGGAGGGGACTGGGAGCAGAGGAGAGAGGGGAAACTTTAATTGGGATGTAAAAACAAAAAAATAAATAAATAAACAGATATTCATGCAGAAAAACTGTGCAAAGCCTGTCGTTGGCAACAACCCTAAAACTCGAGAATGGTATGGCTGGCTCATATGGCAAATCTAGCTCTAACTTTTGAAAAACCTCCACACTGATTTCCATAGTGGCTACACCAGTTTGCACCACCACCTGGAGCAATTAAGTATTCCCTTTCCCCCACATTTATTTATTTACTTATTCATTCACTCAGCCATTTTGACTGGGATAAGAGGAAATCGTAAAGTCGCTTTAATTTGCATTTCCCTGACAGCTAAGTGTAAGCTTCTGCACTTTTCTGTGGATACCCGAACCTCGAAACAGGCGCGCGCATTCCTGACTCGAGCCCACGAGAACGGACAATTGTCCTAGGGGTTTGAACAGACGACACACACACAAAGAGACCAGCTCATCTGCCAAGAGCAAGTGGCAAATGGCAGCTTTATTAAGCATAAGTCGGGTATATATACTGTGGGGCAAAAAGACACCAGCCCCCCATCAGGATCAGGGAAAGAGAAAAGTCAGGGGGCTGCACCCAAGGTCGGAGAGCAGCTGAACAGAGAAAAGAGGAAGCCAGGTGGGCGTGCTCAGGCTCAGAGAAAAGCTGACCCAGGAACCTTGCCTGTGGGCAAGAACCTTGCTTGCAGGTGGAATTACCATGACAGAAGAGTTCTCTCTGAGCTACACCCTTGGGCCGTAGGTGATATTAACATAACAGGAGAGGGCAGTTCTATGCTACACCCTCAAGCTGATGCAGTGGAACCAGGAAGCAGAACAGCCCTGCATGGTGTCTCGGGAAAAGTGGGGAACTTGTGTACCTACAGCTAAGGGCGCTGAATATTTTTTAAAAATGTTTCTTAGCCACTTATGTTTCAACTTCTGAGAATTCCGTTTAGTTCCATGCCCTGAGGTTTCTTGGCTTGTTTGTTTTGATGTCTAATTTTCTCGTATATTCTAGATACTACCCTTCTGTCAGATAAACAGATAACTGATGAACATTTTTTTTCCACTCTGCAGACTGTTTTGCTCAAGTGGATGGTGTCTCTTGCTGTACAAAACGTCTTAGCTTTGTGAGGTTCTGTTTGTCAATTGTCGGTCTTCAGCTCTGCTCTATCAGGGTCCTGCTAAAAATGCCCGTCCCCACTTTCTCATCTCCCAGACTGTTGCTAATGCTATTGGCTCCCCTTCAGATGGAAGACCTTATTGCTGAAGACATCATGTATTTGAGCCACAAAATGAAGAAATACGAAGCTGGTACTGACCTGGAAACTCCATGCCTACTGATTGACTTTCAAGGTGCTAGAAAGTTCCGTGCAGGAGAAAGGTCATCACAGGCCTTACCGGCTGTAGTCATGACTGGTCTGGCACACCATGCCCAATAGCTCGATAGTAACCAACCGCTTTTCTGGTTGAATTTCAGTCCCCCTGCACAAGATAAAACCTCATACTTGGCAATCTTGCCAAGCCAAGAACCTGCAGCTCCACAGATCATAGACCATGGGGGAGAACACGCTGCTATTCTTCTTAATGGACATAGAATTAAACCAAATTCTAATGACTTGCCAGCATCCCATAGATCAGGCACCTCTAAGTCCTCATCAGAGAAGCTTCTATTTGCTATATATGGTGATTACTACAAAGACCCACATCTGTCCTCAGCCCTGTCTCCCAAGGCTCGGGGTTACTGTGGAAGGGAGCAGAAGGGCTGGGAAAGCCACAGCGTCCTCCAAACACACACACACACACATGTCAGCTGCACCTATGCAGTCGCAGTGATTAGACACATGCACAAGCCAGACCACGTCCGCCGTGGAGAGAGGAGGTGGACATGATATCCCATCCTTAGCAATTGGTAGCTAGTGGCAGTTGGAGAGACAGTTTTCTTTAAGAATTTTGGACCTAGGGTTGGTGAGATGGTTTTAGTTAGTCTCGGTAGGAGCCATCTATGCAGGGGGCGTAAATGTTCAGGGGAGGAAGCTATGGGTGCACACTCTCCGCACTCTACCAGCACTGGTACTCAGACCCAGAGGAAGGCTTTGTCCTTTCCTTCTGAGTCTCTCCCTGGGGCGGGGCGGGGTGGGGCAGAGAAGGGCGAGGCGAGGCAGGGCAGGGCAGAGGAGGCAAAGGAGGGGTGGGGTAGGGCATTGAAGGGTGGGGCAGGGCAGAGAGGCTTGCCAGTTTTGGGTCTGAGGTTAGGGTCCTTGACAGGTGCTTGGTGGGGGGCAGGGAGTGGGCATGTTCTGTTTAAGCTATGTTAGGAAGCCCACCTCCTTTCTAGCTTGTTTTTCCCTTTTTTCTGCTGTCCTCACTCCCTTGATTGTGATTCTGAATAAATGACCTGCAGCCAAGTCTGTATCTGAGACTTCATTTTCAGGAAACCCAAATTAGGACACATATAAATTCACATTTCACAGAGCGAAAAGGAACAACCAACAAGCCTAGGGAGAAAGGCTCAACTTGAGAGTATAACTTTGTTTGAGACAGCGCAGGTTGACCTTGTACTTGCTCTGACCTTGTGTCTCCCGAGTGCCTGTTGGTGGGGTTGTGACGGTTAATCTTGGTTGTCAGCTTGGCTACATCTAGAATCAACTAAAACCCCCAAAGCTGGGACTCAGCTAGACGGGGACTGCTGAGACATCCAGTCTCATGGACTGAACTTCAGGTTCTTGGTCTTTCCGTTGTGAGACGGCCGGCCATTGTGGGGCTACCTGAACTACTGCCTGTAAGCCACTCTAATAAATCCTAAGGGCTCTGACCCGTCCATGAACCGGGACTAACACACAGGCATACTCCAAATACCAGCTTCATATGGCGTTAGGGACTGAAGCCGGGGCTTCTCATACACCAGGGGAGCACTCTCCCTGTAATGGAAAAATTAAATATGCTGCAGGATCCCGGGCAGCGGCAGTAGGCAGCAGAAATGCTGTATAGTAGCGGGCCATGTGGCGGCAGGCAGTGGTCCCTGGGAGCAGCCAGTCCCAGACAAAGACAGCAGCCGGTCCAGAGCGGTGACTGGTCCCAGCAGACACACATGGCGGGCAGGCAAAAGACAGAGACATGGATAGGCATGCAGAGTGAGGTTGGGTATTTATTGGGGGAGGTGGATGGGTAAGGAAGAAGGGGAGAAGAGGAGGGGGGGCAGGGAAAGGGGAGAAGTGGGGAGAGAGGAAGACGGAAAAAGAGAGCGAGCTCAGGCTGGAAGCTGAAGATCAGCCTGCCTCAGTGCATGGTGGAGGGAGTGGGCGTGGCTTGTCTCTTAAAGAGACAGAACAACCATTACACTCCCAACTAGTGCTGTCGTTCTGAAGAAGGCATCACAGAGCTCCGTGGGCTGACGTCTAAGCACAGCCAGGCCTCGGGCAGTCCTCACTCACTCTCAGCACCCAGCCCACCTGACCGTTTGCCTCAGAGCATCTGGTGTTTGTCCTGCTCTCCACTCCCCTGCCGTCTCTGAATTTTCCTCCTCCAACATTTTCTTTTCCTACCTCACATTCAGTTGACAACCCCACTTACTGAGGCTGAGTAAGCAAGCAAACATTTCCACGGCCATCATCCGCGGAGCTCGGAGCTCGTATCTGCGCATGTTGGCAACTTCCACGCCTGCCCTCCCTCTCCCGCGGCCAGGCTCCTAGTTACCCTTGCATTGTTCGTCTCTCCCGTGCAGTGGTGTCACCAACACCAACATGTGCTGTGATCCTCATGGAAAGCGGCCGGGGAGAACCAAGAGGAAAGACAATTTTCTTCTTTTGCACTTCTCTTTCTAAAGCCCTTCACAACAACTCCTCCATAGAATCTGTCTTCTTGTCAGACCCATCAGCATTGGCTGACGTCATTGCTGGTTTTTTCCTTCTTGAAGCCCTTGGAAAGCCCCTGCGTCTCTTGCTCGAGTCTTCCCATACGGCTCCCGGTCTTCATTCTGGTGCTTACTCAACCTTTCCAGAAGTATTGTGTTGTTTTGCCTGAGGCCCCAGCATCTCTACCATATTTCTTTCACCACGGCTACCCTCTTGCAACAGGCTGCCAAGGCTTCCTGTCTGGGTGCTCCCTCTCCTCATCCTCCCAGAAGCTTCTCTCTCCTCAGCCACTGGAGGCTCATTAAAACAACGGCAAGGCTCTGAGTCAGATCTTTTCTTCAAGTCTTTCTCATTACACGCAAACTAGAGCCCAGTGTTTTCACCCGGCAGAGGAAATCCCATCTGTGGGCTCCAGCCACTTTCAGTGATCCTATTCCCTCCTCCATCCCTCATCCACTCTCATCTTCTTCCTCACAGCTGTTTCTAGAATTATCTTGTGTTTCACCTCAGAGCTTGGCACATTCGTATCTGGAGTGTTCCTTTTGTAGATATCCACGTGGTTACCCTCGCTCAGCCCCGTCTCTGTCCAATCCATTCTCAGACAGGCTCTTGCTGACCCCTCCCCATCTAAGCAGCACCCACACCCTTCTTTGCCTTCTTAGCTTGACTTATTTTCTTCTTTATTTTATATATAGCCTTATACATTTACAGTCTACTCTCATCCCTCACTAAAACAGAAGGGGCTGTATCTATTTTTGATGATACTGTATTCCCATCCTCATCATATTTAGCATAGACTATGTGTTGGGTTAATCTATGCCAAATAAAGGAAAGAACAGGTGTACCGATGGGAAACTAAGCAGAAAAGAATTCTTCCCAGAGTTTTGCATGACAGCAAAGTGCTTGCAACAACATTAGCGCCTTCAGTGAGGGACTGGAGAAATAAAATACTTCATCCAATTATTAGAAGAAATAAGCCAATTTAATATGTCCAACTATCAAAGGGAAGAATGTCCAGGTAAAACAGAAAAATAGTAAGATACACTGAGATTACACAAGGCTCCTCCACGGCCCATCTATGATGGAGTCCTACTGCCTGAGTTCAATTAAATACTTAAATTTTAAAAGCAAAACAAAGTGAGAGAAACCTGTGGAGAAAATGAGTTGCTTCTTACTTAACTGGGGGCTGTAGGATGAGATTCCTGCAAGTTGCACGTGAGAGAGCCAGGGACTGGGCTCATCAAAGTCGTGTGACTCATGTCCTCTGAAGGGAACAAAGAATAAAAAACCAAAACTCTCCGAAAGAGGTTGAAGCAATAGAAAGAGGGGTAAGCTAGAAAAGCAAAATCTCCAACATGATGCAGAGGGCAGAGTGACTTAGACAACCTCTGAAGTTAAGACTTAGCTCCAACATCAACAGTGTTAGCAACTCTGATGTTTAAAATAACTTCCCTGGGTGCCCGCATGTCCTGTTCACATCTCACAGGAAGCTGGTACCATAGGTTTCAAAATTACCCTGGTTCTACCAGGGAAAGAAATAAAACAAGGGAGGATAGTGGCTTACGAGGTGTCACATGACTGTATTAGCCACACTGCTATCCGAGTGGAAGCTGATTGGCTCAGGAAGCCTGGTTCCAGAATCCCTTCTTTTACTAGTTCACCAGCCATCGTGTGGATAGCAGTCGGGCCATTGAAGATCTCAGGGCAGCACTCCAGGGTAGTGACAGGAGGAGTCAGAGTGTATATGGAATGGCTGCAGATGGCACCAGTGGTCCCTGAGGAGGAACATGGCAATGTCTGCGCTGGTGAACAGAGAAATGACTCTTTCTGCCGAGAGAGGTGGACAGGAGTCCATCAGTAAGGTTGGACCCATGGGCTCAGTATTTGGCCCTACTGTGCAAGGCATTGGCTGAGTCTGGGAACATTCTGATGGACTTAGGTTATTCGTGTGTGTACACTACCACAAAGTAAGTTATCGAGACCAAACCTAAAGCTAAGGCTCCGGGAGAAGCAGATCCAGGAATGGGACCCCAGGGACTTGAACAGGCCAGGCTAGGGTTCTACCCTGAGTTACAGTCTATTCACTGTAGCTGAAGCTCCTTCTGTTGAATAAACAAATGGTATACATAAGTCACTCTTAATATTCATACCATTAAAAAATGAATTTTGGAAAAAAATGTTTCTTAGAATCTCTTCAAAACCAAAAAGGTAGAATATTTCACTTTTAAAAAGGAATTTTAAGTTAATATATATTAACTTTTAATATATATTTTTTAGTTTATTTATTTATCTGAAAAAGGACTTAGGAGATGGCTTAACAATCAGCAAATTCACGACTGTAAGCAAGACTACTTTGTCCTGTGGCCCTTCATTACACAGAAACGCTAGGTCTGTGCTTGTGAGTAAGGAAGTGTCATCTTCAACTTTTAGAAATCATAATGAATAGAAATTTTAACTGAAAGATCAAAGGTACAAATCAAGAAATTCATTCCCAGAGAGAGGTTACCCAAGATGCAGTCATTTTTATGAATATTTATGTATTCATATAAATCACCCTGTGCCTACCGTAGTTACTGAATCCCTTAGATACCCTTTTACTCATAGAGTGTAATTGCAGTGCTATGACAATAAAGTACCTGATACTTATGCAGGCATCTCTTTTCTGTTTGTGGGTTTTTTGTTTTTGTTTTTATTTTATGAGATGAAGTAGGTCCTCCTAGAGTGGCCACAGAGTCCCACCAGCTCCCTGCTGCACCTTGCCTCCCTTGGATAGTCCAGAACTGTCCGTTGGCTTTTCTAGTGTCCCTCCCCTCCTTGCTGCTGCCCAGCACATTCAGAACTCTCTAAAAGTATTTTTGATTGACTTACCCACTGGCCTTACTGCTCCGCACTTGCCCATTGCTCCGTAGCACTGCCCACAAAGCCTGGAAGATCCACTCGCTGCCTCACACGCATCCTCCTTGCACGATACTTCCACACCTCTGCACTGGGCCACAGCAAGCAGGGAAGTCATTGCATATGCATTGTCTTCTCCCAGGAACAAACAGGACGGCTGCCGCCCTCCCTGCTCCTGATAACGGCGCCTCCCTTTCGTCTCCAGCTCAAAGGCCCCTGTCTATGTACGGCACTGCTATTCCAGTAAGTTTGGATAGATATAGAAAGTTCCTTCTTTATGCATTGATATTCTAGCGATGGGGTCACAGTCATGTGTAAATGTGTAGCCTGGCATGGGCTGCTGTGCTAAGAAGGGAGGAGGGAGTGTTACCATGGGGTGGGTGTGAAGGGAGGAAGGGGCAACGCCCAGGCTGGAGGTGGAAATGATACTTTAGACAGGTGAGCTGGGAAGTTCTCTCAGCCAAGGGGGCATTTGAGTGGAGCTGGAAAGAAGAGAGGTAGAAGTCAAGGGTTGAATGAGGCAAAGCCCAGCAGGCAATGCAAAAAAGGTCCCCCAAAGCCCAGGAGGCAATATGAGAAAATGCCCCCCCCAAAAGCCCTGGTTCAGACTGTTCTTTACAGTTCCACAAGAGCAAGAGCAGATGTAGAGCAGGGTGAGCAGGAGGTCGAGGTGGGGAGCTGAGGTCTGAGAGGCAGTGGGGAAGGGGCTGCCTTTATGGAGGCCAGCAGCAAAGCAAAGCACTTCCGTTCGAGGGAGAAAGAGCATCATAGGATCTGAACAGATGAGAGCCAGGATTCCGTTTCTGAAGGATTTGGGCTGTTCTATGGCTCACAGCCAACAGTAGACTCTGGGAGGCAGCGAGAGTCCGAAGCCCAAATGGTAGGGGACGGTGGTAGAGAAGTGATAGGATTCTGGACTTGCCTTGAGAGCGGAGTGGCAGGCTTCTTAGTGTCCCCAAGCCTGGGTCAGGCCACGGTGTCCCTGCCTCGGATCTCCGTGAGCGTCTGCATGAGGTTTTCAGACAAGAAGCAAAGCTGCAGCCACTGAAGGACTTCCAACCAGAGAGAGGTTAGACCGTCCAGGACAAGGAGGCTCTGGGCTTTATTCATGCCTGGAGGGCCCGCCGCAGGCTGTAGGAACTCACCGAGAAAACTGTCGTCTTCTGGGGTTGCCCAGGTTAATGAGTGGACTGAAAAGTAGTAGCTGGACCCTGAGCCACACCTGTGTCCTATGCCAGAGTCCAGGCCCACAGGCTGGACGCTCCATGTTGGGCTCTCCTAAAGGACGAGAGCTTGGCCTGGGGCAAGATCTGAGAGGTTTGGTGCTGTAGGAATTAAAGTAGCTGTTAAGTTACCAGCCCACTTATACTATAAATGCCAATGTAAAGCACACATACCACCTCTCTTCCAACAGCGTGATTTGGTTCCTGTTCCCCATTCATGCAGAGGACGATTTTTATAAAACCCCTGCCACAGAAGAGCTGAGTACTGCAACTTGGAAATCTCCCGAGCTCATGCACAAATCCGCCCCCCATAGCCATGCACCCTGCCGCGGGGTAACTTCTGCCGCTTCCCTTTGTGCTCCTTGCCCGTGAGTTCTGGGCTTCTTGCTCTGTGAACGGAATTGATTTAATTGCTTTTAATTTGGCAGGCAAAGCATATTAATCAGTATTTAATCAGCACCAAGGCAAGAAAACCAAAGCAGCTCAGAGCTGTTCGTGGCACCAGGTTGCGCCACTGTTTGGGACTCTGCAACCACAGCACCAGCTGCACAATAAAGAATATTACAACTTAAAACAATTTACTGGACCTCATAACATAAGGTAAATGTTTTACTAATTAATAAATCAATAAATTTGAAAGTTATATAATTGAAGACAATGTTACCATAGAGAATTTTAGTTACTTTTTTGCTAATACTATGGATTGTATTCTGCAAGACTTATATGGTTACATTCATTTATGGGATATTGGTACTCAGTTTTTTCTTCATATTATATCCTTAAGAAAATGCTTTGATAACAAAACCAAGATTGAGGTGCTTATAGAAATGATACAGTCTTTACAGACTAATAATGAACAATTAGCTGACAGGATTAATACAATCGAAAATCAAAAGTTACCTGAAAAACATAATACTATCGAGAAGGGTAACATTAATTGACAGACAAAATTGAATCCATGACAAAGAATACTGAGAAATTATCTGAAAGAATTCATACTGTTGAATTTGACAATGAAAATTTGTTAAAAAGTTATGATAGGTTAGCAGATAGAGTGTCTCTCCAGGATGGCAATCTGCATGCTATCCAAATAATGCCCAAGGATGAGATGTTATCTTTAAAAAAAATTCAGACCTTGGAATTGCATGTGCAGAATGAGGACCAGAGGCTAGGTCCTCAATGAAATCACTAGAAATATATACAGGCCAGGAGATTCAGGCTTTAGAAAAGACAATAGTAAAAAGATTTGAAATGATTGAGGAAATTATTGTACTTGATGAACAGGGAAAGAAGGCACAAGGACAGGATGCAACATCGCCAGTAGCTGTCAGAGATGACTTACCCAGGGTATTAGCTTTCTACCTTGTAATCTACTCTGACAAAGCATCAAGTTCTAAAAGCCCAAAAGAATTCAAAGATAGATACTTATAGGAACAAATGATCCAAAAGAAATTAATCAAGCTGCTGTAACTTATGGTTTGCATTCTGCATTTGTTAGGGAGATGATAAAGACATGGTCTTCTAGCATCAAAGCAACACCACATGATTGGATTCAGTTAGTTTCAACAGTACTGGATGATGGGCCTCAACTGAGGTTTAAATGTTATTTCAGAGAAGAGGCTAAAATTTTAGAACAACAGGGAAAAGCAAAAGGACTTGAGACTTCCCAAGATCAAATTCTTGGTGAGGGCACTTATGCTGACCCACAGGCTCAAGCTCTTTACGATGAGCAAATTTGGCCCTAAGCCACAAAGCAGCCTTAAATGCTTGAGCCAGGATTCAAGAACAAGAAATTGAATTGAATCATATACCGGGGTTAAAAAGGGCCAGAGAGAACTCTTTAGTGAGTTTTTTTTATTTACAAAGATTAACTAAGGCTGTAAAAATAGGAGTAACAGATCCAGATGCTAGACGAGTACTGATTGAATCTCTGGCTTTTGAAAATGCCAACTTAGAATGCAAAAAGATATTTGGGCCTTTAAAAGTTAGATCAGCACCAATGGATCCTACATACAATGAACATTGAGACATTTGACTATAATACTGAATCTTGGGTAGGAGAAGCAATTTCCAAAGGTATTAGGAGATATCAAAATGCTAAATGTTAATTGCAGTAGAATGGGACATCTGAGAATGAATTGTAGACAAGGAATTCCTAGGAATAATGTCTCTTCTGGGAATGGCAAGAATAGGAGGACTCAGCCTTCAGGTATATGTAGAAGGTGTGGTAAAGGCCAACATTGGACCAATGAAGCAGATCAACAAAAGACAGACAAGAGAATCTGATACCATTTGACCAATACTTTTGACCAAGCCAAAAGTGGTCCAGTCACTTCCAGTCACTGTGGAGGACATGTCTCACCAGGAAAATTAAAAAATCCAGAACCTTCTGTAAAAGACCATACTGTTCTGGATGATGGAATAAGCATGGAGGATAAATCAAAAATTCCAATAGGAAATAGAAAACGTATATTCTGGCAGACTTCAATAAGTGATCAAAGACCAAAGCTAAGAATGTGTATAAATGGCATGAATGAATTGTAATTGTAGGTTTGATAGACACAGGTGCAGACATGAGTTATCATTACTCCAGAATCTTGTCTTCCAAATTGGCCTCGTCAAGAGGCAGATGTTCAATTACTAGGAATTATCTCAAGTAAAACAAAGCACAAGATGGGTTGAATGCATAGGACTAGAAGGACAGAGAGGGAAGCTGAGGCCATATGTGGCTAATATTGCAGTGAATTTATGGGGTGTGACCTGCTGCAGCAATGGAATACCCAGATTAACATTCCTGCAGTCCCAGAAACTCATAATTCTGGGAAAGATATTATAAGGTACTATACACAAAGGTCACCAGCCATTCAGGCTGTATAAGAACACAAAGCAACTAGCAAATCTTTAGAGGTACCAACAGCCCTACCTTTAAAATGGTTAACTGAGAAACCAATATGGGTTAAACAGTGGCCATTAACAGAAGACAAACTGCCGGCTTTAGAACATCTGGTACAGGAGCAACTAGATGCTCATCATATTGAAGAATCTACCAGCCCTTGGAATTCTCCTGTATTTGTTGTTAAAAGAAAATCTGGAAAATGGAGAATGGTGAGAGATCTGAGAGCTGTCAACAAGGTATTCAACCTATGGGCCCTCTACAAAGAATTCCTCTGCCATCTCTACTACCAAAACAATGGCCTCTTATAGTTATTGATTTAAAAGATTGTTTCTTCACTATACCTTTACAAGAAAAGGATAGAGAAAAATTTTTCTTCACAGTGTCTACTTATAATAATTTTCAACCTACTAGGAGATACCAGTGGACTATTTCACAGAGAATGCTCAATGCCAATACTTTGTAAGTTAGCCCTTGGAAATAGTATGCAAAAAATTTCGTAAATCATTAATTTACCACTACATGGATGACATTTTGCTATCTGATTCAAAAATAGATACTTTAGAAAGAATATTTGAAGAAGTAAAGAAAGTTTTGCCAAAATGGGGATTACAAATTGCTCCTGAAAAAATAGAGAGGAGATTCAACTACCTACGTTATAAAATAGGTTTACAGAAAATTAGAACACAAAAGGCACAAATTAGGAGAGATTGATTGCGGACTCTTAATGACTTTCAAAGATTGTTAGGAGACATTTCCGGTCTATGACCAACTGTTGGGATAACACCTGATCTCATAGTTCATTTAAACAAAACCTTAGATGGTGACAATGACTTAAACAGTTCCAGATAATTAACAGCTGAAACAGAAAAGGAATTGGTTGTCAGTAAAGAAAAATTACAGGAGATACAAGTGGATAGGATGAATCCAAATCTTAATTTCATTTTATTCATATTACCTTCTAGAATTTCCCATACAGGAATGTTAATGCAAATGGGAGATATTATCTTGGAATGGATCTTTTTACCAC